TTTCTAAAGAGTGGTTTATACCTTTGAGTAATAGATTACTAAAATACCCAAGACCTAGAGATTGGTGTCTCCGAATTCTCATACTCCAATATCGGCATGTCATTTCTGCTAACTGTTTTCTTGGGTTTCTTCTAGTAGATGGTTATAAATCAGGTTTATGAAGAGGAAACTCTCTGTAATTGTGCATTTTTAAAGGATTTATGATAAAGCCATCAAAGTGGAGGGTCCATATGGTAGGAATGCAGTAAAGGTAACAGGACAGTGTCACGTAAACATTAAAAACAGTGCCTTCCACCTTCATAAATCCTCAATGCTCATGATTAAATGCTGCCAGTTATAAATTATGCAACCAAACTCTAGAAACAACCACAACTTAAATAAGACACCAGTGGAAGCCATAAGTTGTATATAGGTTTTCTTCCCAGAAAACTGTTGTATATTCATTGGCGATAAAAATATTTGAGTCCCTATTTTCCAATTCCAACAATTATTTTCTCACTTTATTTAACTTCCTACAATAAACTCTAGTCCTGATTAAAAAGTAATAATGCAAACCTTTAATCCTAAACAATAATCTGTCATTTTTACATGGTGAAGTACCATTTTGATTTGCATACTCATTTTAAAGCTTTCTTAATATATATTTATATCGCTTTAGGTCTCTAAAATTTTGCCCTTTTTAGAGTCATATATCAGAAGTTTCTGCAACAGCCCAATGTCACACTGCTATTTACAATCAAATTATTTTATTACACATGGGAACAATTAAACATTTGGCCCTCAGCTGTAAACAATTACTATATATAATGACATTCACGAGTTTTCTTAGTCGCGTATTTCTAATGCCCTCTGTTAAAATAAGAGAGATTGATGTTTGTGTATTTTGTGTGTCCATAAGCAATTATATTCCCAAACATAATATCAAAAGAGATATTTCACCTAGAGAATGCACTACCATTGTCTGATACCATGTAGCCAGCCACCTGCAGCGACACCTTTAACATATTTCATTTCTGTTGCACTGTCATTTTACTGTTTTACGACTGTTTCAATTTCATTCTGAAGAACTATAGGTGTTCATAGCAAGAAGTAATTAAGGTTTGGGATAATTTTTTGGGGGGTTTTGGGGTGTCTAATTCTAATATATTGGTATCACTGGTGCCAGCAGCAGAGAGGTAGAAGAAATAAAGAACGATATAACCAAATAGACTTAGGCTTGAATCCCAGTTCTGCCAATTTCTAGTTGAAGGACCTTCAGTAATTTACTTTTTTTCAGGCTTAATTTTCATATTTGAAAAATGTGGATAGTTATATCTAAGTCATAGGACTATTATGAGTGTTAAATGAGATATATTTAAAGAAATGGGGTACATACTACATATTCAGTCCATACTGATTTCTCTGTCTCCCATACTCCTTGGCCGGAAAGACTCATAAGCACTGTGGCTTTCCATTTTGAGAATATCCATCCTTGGCTGTCTCAAGTTTACAGACACATTTTCTTTTCACTAGACTCCCCCTTTTTACCAGTGACTACCATGGGAGATGCCCACAGCTGTTTTACTCACGTCCAGTAATAAGTCCACCAGTCCCAGTTGTAAGGGTACCTAACAGCTGTATCCAGCCTTGCTGGAAGGCCAGAACTGGAGCCTAGTGGTAATGTTTCAAGGGCAAAGCTCTAGATGTAAAGAATGATAAAACAAACCTAAATGAGCCTGAGCATATCTAGTGACAGATACACCACAGCTATTCTAAATTATTCAAGCTTTCTCAGACTTCTAGCAGGAGAAACATAATTCATCTCCACTCCCTTTATTCTACTCTCATATAATGGAAAAGAAGCAAACAAAAAATACATCCGCTCTAAAAAAAAAAAAAGGAATTATAATAATCACCCAAATTGAGAAGAGTTTCTTCAGCACATGTAATATTTTTAGAACCATCCAATTTCTGGGAACCAGCTTTGGAGATAGAAGTCAAAAATGATTTTGCAATGCTTACCGGTGATTTCCTTACTCTCCTATTGTTACTGGCAAAAAGCCAGTAAAACAGTTGTTTAATTACCCAGGACATCACAAACATGTAACCTCTTAGGTAAGCTGTTACTGTATTTTAGCAGCAATAATACTAGGGTCAAAAGTAACAAAGAAAATTAAGCTTCAAATAAGCAAACCTCAAAAGAACAGCTTTGTGTATTTGGAATAATTAATAACTTGTTTAGGAAAATGTTACTGAAATGTGGTTTTTGGACAAGGAACTGACACTCTTCAGAGGTTAGATACCCTAATATTTAACAGGCTACCATTTGGTGGGCTGGCTGGCTGGTTACCCTGTAGGCATGGCAGAAGTTTGTTCACATGTAATTATGCAACATTTAGACAGTATTTTAATGATACCATGTAGTTCAGCTGAATCAGTCCAGCTGGAAATTGTAGCAGCATTCTGATTACCTGGCCACATGTGAAATTAAGGCTTTTTCAACCTCTACTTTTCACTTGCTATGTCTTGATACAGATGTTCTTGGAAAGCCTAAATTATTTATGGTTTGATGTTATTGAACAGAGCAAGCCCCGCCTCTTTCATCTTCAACCATTGATTAAGATTGCATTACTATATATTATATTATAATCTTAACAAGAACTATTAATATACTTTATCATATAGAAGCGATATTAACATATTTTGGACAGTTAGGATGAAAGTTTTCCACACTCATTTTTATGCAATAAAAATCATATACTTTTCTCTTTGCAGATATTGTAAAACCATGATTGTAAAAACATAATTTATTATAAAAATGTAATTCAATGTATACCCTGGAAATCATTTTACTAAATAGTTAATTGCACAGTAATATTATTTTAGAAAATAGTAATTTAAGTTGCGTAAATAAAATAGTTTAATTGTAGATTAGTCCTTGCATCACATTATAAAGACACTTAAAATGGAGCAATAGCAAAATCAAGTTAGTGTCAAAAAAAAAAAAAGAAAGTTTGCTCAAGGTTAACACTCTGAAATTTTATTATATTTCTTTATCTTTATGAACTAAAAATACAAAGAAGAATTTCAGTCCATGGGAATTATTTTTTTTAAACTCTGAGCTCATTCTTCTGTAAGTGTTTGGACCACTTCTTCCCCATTGTCCTACTTGGATGACACCACAACTATTTTGAAGTGAACAAAGGTATTAAATTTTTAATCAACAAACATGACATCTATACATAGCATCTAATGAGCTCAGGTAACAAATGACTTTCAAGCAAAAAATCTGCATCATAAATGACATTATTTCAGCCACTTTCTATGAATCAGAATGGAAAAAAATATGGGTAATGGATTATTTAACATCTGTAGTATTAAACACAAAATGGAATACTTTAAAATACTCCTACAAATATTTGTATTACTTGTAAACATATTGCTAATTTTAGTAAATGGCAGCAGCAGCTGAGGAGGAACAGAAGTTAATGTTGAATGTATGTGAGTCCCCAAATAAGAAAACTAAGTCTTAATTCTTGTAAATCTTTGTTTAAAAAGAAAATGCTAAGTTCTAGTTAACTCTCTTTCCCATTAGCACTAGATACTTTCTGGGCCAAAGAATCTTGAAATGTGTGACCCCTGTATTTCAGTTAGCTGGCAAATATATTCTTGGAATTCCCAAACAACTGACACAAAAAGGTCCCTTTAAAAGGTGACATGGAAGTACCATTGAGATAATGCTAAATGGTCATTAAAGACGTTTAAATGTCATTGTCTACTGTCTTCAGTGTGCCTGTTACATAGCCTCGGGATCCTTTCAAATAGCAATCAACAGAGGATGAATAAGTCTCACCACTTGAAAGTAACTAGGAAAGGAAGCCAACAGAGTAATCTGGCTTTGCTGGACTGAATCAAGAAGAGACACAATATCCACCCCTCCTCTTCTAGTTCTCCCTCCCCCTACCCAGCCCACACCCCTGCAAGAAAGAAAGAAGGAAGAGAAAGAGCTAAAGAGAGAAAGAAAGAGAGAGAGAAAGGAAAAAGGAAAGAAATCCAGGGATCCAGGGCATGATTTGTACTGAGGAGAAAATCTCATCCCATGGGATAAACTACAGCCATGGAAACAGACTTATGACTTTTACTTTGAAAATAAAAGATGACAATGAAATTTGTGTGAGGTCTGTGTGAATCCAGTCCCAGATGTTTACAATGCTGTAGTAGTATGGCTCTGCAATATGAGAGGTTTCAGAAGAAGGAGTACAACAGGACACCACAAAGCAGCACATATGCTATTGACAATGCAGACATGAGCATCATGTTACCAAGAGGGAAGGCAGGCAGAAGACAAACAGCAGCGGTGGTGCCTGAAAAGCTAACTTCATGGACTGCGATCACTCAAACCAACATGAGGGACCCACCCCCCCAAAAAAGATCAAAACCAGAAAAATGCTTTCGCTCCTATCTAGAGAGGTGGTGGGGTAAAGGGATGGGGGTGGGGAGCGAGTGGAATTGACTCTCTTTTTAAAAATAAAGTTCCCATAAAGCCCCTAAAATTGACAGCGGATAATTATTTTCAGCTTGAGGAAACTGTCCCAAAACTCTTAATAAGATTGCCAGCGAAAAGAAATAAAATGTGTTTACTTGAGCCTTTTCCAAAAGAGAGGGAAAGGAGACCTTGGGATGAGATGGGGAAGGGCGATGGAGACAGAGAGGGGCATCTACGCACTGCAACAACTCTCGGGCGCCCTGCTTGGTCCAGCGAGTGACAAGCCAGAGAGACAGGGCGGAAAGGGTGGCAAGGAGTAGGGGGTATGGAGGCTGCGTGCGGAGCCGTGGGGGTGCGGCAGCACAATGTATACGGGGCGGGGGGGGGGGTGATTTAGTGTGAAAGTATTCCACTTAATCATTTTACAGGGGTTGGGGACGTAAATATTTAGCTGGCCACATCTGGAAGAGATTTTCCCCCCGTGTGGGGTGGGGGTGGATAATTGGAAGGAGGGGAGCGCGCATTTGTTACTTACTGTACGGGCAGTTCTCCTTCTTGGTACCGCTGACCTTCCCGTTCTTCTCAATCTTGAGAAAGTACTTGGTGAAAGAGAAGAGCTTTCTCCAGCGGACATCTCCTTGGAGGTGATTGTAGCTCCGCACGTGCCTCCCCGCACTGGAAGGAGAGGAGAACGAGGAGGAAGAGGAGGAGGAGGAAGAAGAGGAGTTGGTGGCCTCTGGTGACACCATGTCCTGACCAAGGGCTTGGCAGGTGACAGAGACGGAAGACACCAATAAGAGCAACAAGAAGCAGCAGCAGCAGCCGGGCAGGTGGGGAAAGGCTGAGGCACAATGTGTCAGTATCCATTTCCACATTGTACTGAAACTCTCGGCGCTGGAAATTGTCTCATCAGAAGGAACATACTGGAAGGGTAAGACCTGGTGCGAGGCAAGGAGACAGCTGGAAGTGGCGGCCGCTGGTTAGCTCCCTCTGGGCGCGGATTTGGCCAGAAGTGAGTGCACCAACATCCATAACTCCTCGGAAGGGCCGGCTGCCTCTCCTCGCTCCTTGCTCGGATCCGCTGCCCCGCGCTCTCGAGTGTCCCTGTGGATGGTGGACGTGGGTGGCCGCAGCAGCAGGAGCTGGTGGTGGCGGTGGTGGTGTTGGTCACGAGCGATCTTCACTCCCCCAGGAGTTACTTTGTTCTCTTCTTCACTCCTTTCTGCACCATGTTAGATGCAAAAAAGGGTCTGAAAAACAGATGACAGCACCGTGAACAAAATCCAAAGGGGTTGGGGTGGGAGGCTGGGGGAGATGTCTGCGCCCCTCTGCGGTTGGCACCTTCTGGTCCCTCTCCGCAGAGCCCCAGCCTGCTAGCCAGTTCTAAAAGTGCGTCCCTCTGGGGTTGTCAGAACTGGAGGCGGCTGCCTGGTCGCCGTTGTTTTCTTCCCTCTCTTGCTTTCTCTTTTTGGTGGTGCCTGTTGATTTGAAGCCTCCAGAAAGTCACTTCTTGTTGGGGGGGGGATGGCGGTTGGTGTTTTGTTTGGCTCTATTTCCCTCCCCCCCTTCCTTTGGAAAGCCAGCTTGTAAACAGGTTGAAGCCTGGAGTCTAAATGTCAGTGATTCTAAGCCAGAGGTGGGCTCTGCCTCTGCTGGTCAAACCTCATTTGCAGGGGTGGAGAAGCGGGGGGAGGGGGTCAAACGGCGGTGGGACATCTGAAACCCTCGGCTGCTGGGAACGCCAGGGAGAGGGAGGGGGGGGGGGCCGAGAGGGGGGAGAGCAGGGGAGCGAGGAGAGGAGAGTGCGATGCCTCTGCTCGGAGCTCGGGGGCTGCCCCGGGTCCCTTCCTCGCCGCTGCCGCAGCCGCAGCCACCGCCGGCGCCTCCGGCTCCGGCTAATTGCTGCTCCCGCTAAGGCGTCCTTGTGCTCGCTGCGCTGGCCACCGGCGCGAGCTGCATCCTCATGCTTCCCGAATTTTGCTGCCTTCCAGCCTGACCCAGTCCCCTCCGGGGAGCCCCTTTCTCACTTGTTTTCCAGCGTAGGATTTTTTTTTTTTTTTTTGCTTTTGGCAATGAAGTACTTGAGAGCCACCTGGAGCCTCGAGCTTGGCTGACTTTTATTTTCTCCCCCTCTCACTCTCAGAAGGAGGGGAGGGCTGGGGGAGAAAGCAGAAGATGCTGAGAATAACCCCTCCAAAGCAGCAGACTATAAACTCGTCGGAGCGAGCACAGAAAAAGAAGACATAATTAGCTTCCTTTCCTCCTCTTCTGCCAGCTTCCACGGAGGTCTCTGCTTTAATGAATCACTGATTTTTCGCTTCCGTTGCCGAAGTAAAAAGTTCACACTTTGTCCCTCCCCGCCTTTTAAGCTCAGGGAGATTTATCTTCACTCTTAAAAGTCGCCTTTCTCGGCGCAAATGAAATTGGGGACCGAAATGACCGATCTGTAATTGCTAACATGAGTCGTTTACTGAAACACGCGTGCACTTCAAAGCGAATGCGCTTTATTGAGACTGCGAAGATTTAACCGCATAATTTGGCTGAATATTCTGCTGTCTGTTTTCTTTTCTGTGCAATTTCCTTTGCACTTTGCCATAAAGGGGCGTTTTCTTTTTTCTATTATCTTCAAATTTAACGTTTGAAGGGCTCTATTTTATAATATAACTGCACTACTAGTCTCCTTCTCTCACACTCACCACCTCGCAACTCCCTCATTGCGATTAGAAACTTGCTCACAACCCAGGTAGAGACAGAATCAAGTCCCTGGCCAGCAAGCCTTTGCCAAGAATTTAGAGGCACAAAGAAGGAAAAACTGTGATAATCCGTTTCAATCTGAGTAAGAGAAAGTTCCTAGAGCATCACTTCTTTAAGAATTCCTCTAAACTAGGGAAAGCTTGACAGGAAGGAGTTCCTAAAGATATATTGGTATAAAATATTTACGTTCTGGAAGGCAATTGGACATTCCCGTTATGTTGAAACATGTGAAATTGCCAATATTTTATGCTTTTTGACCTTTGAAAGTGGCAATTTCATATGGTTCAACCTAATATTTAGGCTGCTCTTCTAAGAGGGAGAATCACTTCAAGGTGAACTTGGGAGTTTGACCTCTGCAACTGTAATATGGAGGGAACTAATCAGAACAGCTTGTGTATATACAAGCCAGAATCCCTATAACATACATTTGACCTCAATCTTCATTGTGAATATGAGAAAATACAAAGAAATTAAAAATCTCGCTTTAGAGATGGGCGTAAGGAATGATTGCCTGATTATGTTGTTTAGTGACCTGAAAAATGACTTTACATGCATCCTCTTACATTTTCCTGTGCAGTCAGAGCCTTTGAAATAGAACCATTTAATACTAGAATCAAGATTTTAATTGCATTATTTATAACCCATTGCAATGCTTATTCAAAAGATTTTGATAATGTGGTGAATAGTACAGTAGATTTTTAAATTTAATATAATTAGCTCTAATTCTGTAGCTATTAACTGGAGAGTTAAGTAAATAAACAACATACGTCAAACAGGTCTTGTTCTTTCATTAAAGCGTGGATATTTAAAAATGAACTCACAGTGCTAATTTCAATTTTCTAGTTCAGAGTTTTATATCTGAGCTGACAAATGCCTGAAAGAGAGTATTGTGTTTCTAAGGGACTAGAGTTTCAGTCCAATTGTTCAGCAGAATCCAAAATGTTTGAATTGACAACTAGTTAAAACTACATGTTTTTTTTAATTGGGTTTGATGACACCATACAATAAAGGTTCTGCCGAGAAAAGTTACAAAACAGAGGAAGTATTATTTTGAGGTTTTTTTACACTGGGTATCAACACTATTAGTGCCAGCTTGAGATCTTTTTAATTCTTTTTAAACTCACAATAGACACCCCCCCCAAGGTAGGGGGGTGTCTCTTTCTCTCTCTCTCTCCCCCTCTCTCTTTCACACACACACACACATACACACACATCTACCAACTTTCTGCTCCAATAGAAGAAACTATTCAGATCTTTAAGTTAGAAGTTGTGTGTTTTTATTCTGTCTGAAATGGCGAAAAACACATCTTCAAAACTTCCATATTAAAATCTGGTTGCAGCAGGTGCAGTGTTTAAAAGTTCTGGAGCCTTTTTGCTGCTCTTCTGTACAGCGTGATGACAGGAAGGGCATTTACAAAACAGCCCAGAGGAGAAGCTGACATAGCTTTTTAGATTATATCTCATTCTTCTTTTCATTTCTGTACAGCCTTTCTTTTCTAGCACAGTTGAATCCCTAAATACTCCACTGCTCTGCATTGTTAGGTCATCTCTTAGGTTAGCCTGAGAAAGCCTGAGAAAAGTTCCACAGGAAAGATGCACTATTTAACGGAATTCAATCTCTCCCAATAGATTTGAATCACTAACATAAATGTATGAATGTAGATTATATCTCTGTAATGAGGACTGAATCATTCTCAGTTACTTCAAAGGACTGAAATTCTACCTTCCTTTTTTAGCAGCAATAATCAGGTCTTAATGGGTTCCTTTATTAATTGTTTCTCTGCAACGACTGAAAAGGACAGTACAAGCTTCAGATTAGAGTGATACCTGCTAATTCTAAATGCTGTTTTTCTCTTTCTTCCAACCTCTGGAAGGCATGCTTTATTTCTATGCCCTAAACATATCCAGTAGTATTAGGCTAAATCTTTATTGGAGGAAATAGATGTGGCCTTTTGTTAAATGTGATGTCTTGAAAAATTATTGAGGCTTTTAAAAAGCAAGACCATGGCCGCAGCCATTGAAGAATCCTGAAAGGTGGCTATTTAACCACAGAGAAGCAGTTTTCATATGTACTTCCAGATCCCTCACTAGTTATTCTGTTTGAGCACTTTACATTTCAAGTATGCATTTCCTGGATTCTTTATGCTTGGCACTATCTGTGGTTCAGTTACAAGATGTGTGTTCTATTATGTGTGATGTTATTGGCAGTGTCACTAAGCTGCTTCAACTAATACTAAGTCAGGTCAAAAGTCAGTCAGGGTGTTCTACAAAATAGACATGTGCAGGCCTCATTTTTGAAGCCTGCAGCCCTTATGAGTATGTGTCCCAGCCCACTTTCCCTTCTGGATATGAAAGATGCCAGCTTTAAAGCATTGTTGGGGCTTGTGATCTTCCCAGATTGTAGGTAGACATGATGCTTATAGTCAGTGACAAATGGGGCAAAAAAAAATAGTGATATCTTATTGTTTTGTAACTAGGGGTTTCAAGTGAAAGGAAAAGAGGCCTTACCTCACAGAGAGTAATGCAATACTTTAGAGCCAGTGGGAATCTTAGCAATAATGAATCCATTTTATAGATGAATGAACTGATACCCAGGTCACTGAGTGGTAGAACAGAGTTTAGAAATCAGGTGCTAGACTGTAGGCCATTGTCCTAATTTTTTTGTAACACCTGTCCTGTCTGTTTTCTCTGTCCCCCTCCCTGCTCGTCTTCTGCTTATCATTGATCACTCACGACTCTAATATGTCTGAGATGCCAGGGTGGAAGTGATAAGAGGGGTTAGAAGGAAAACCCTTATGGAAAACCAATACATCCTTGCAGCGAGAGATTAGCCAGAGAAAAGTAATAAAATAGTTTAGTGCTGAATTATTAAGTACCAGTTGATTAGCCAAATAAATATTGATATATAGTTGGCAAAGGGGGCTATTTTACCAAAGCTTGTGAAATGAATGCAATTAGAAAGCAATGTATACCATGTATTTTCAGAATATTCAAGGATTTTTTTCTATATAATCTGAATCTATAAGTTCTCCTCCAGGAAATTTATGTCATCTCCTAGAAAAGTAGATTTATAATTTGATTCTGCTTTCTGTATTCTAAAGTTAAATTTACATAAAGCGGTGTGATATTTGAAAGCATAGGTATTGGCTTAAATTTTTTCTAAGTTTAAACTAAGGTAAATTTTCTATTCTCTAGCTTTCAAACAGACTTAATGATCTATTATTGTGAAGGAAAAATGTCCAACATGGGGAAAAGGAAAAAAAATTCTATATAAGAATGTTTAAATCATACGATAAATCACCAAAAATTTCTGGAAACTGAACTCTGCATCTTGACACCAAACACAGCAAACCTATTTCCACAAAGCTGCTGTTGGTCTCCTCCCAGCTGATGGTAAACAGAACCTTCCCTTGACAAAGCTGTGAAGTCTCTGAAGAGTTCTGTTTGTTTTCTGTGCTCTCAGCTGTCCCTTTGTAGAGCTGTGCCTCCTTCCATTTCAAGCCCTCTACATTTCTTAGTCCTGTATCCTAAATCAAAATTTTAAACATTCTGATATCAGTCATTTGGTTGTGAATTAATTGGCAGGTCATAAAGTTTTCTTTAAAGTTGCAATGTCTTACAACAACAGATATTTATAGTGTGTTCATTTCTTCATCCATTCCCTTAATTGGTTTTTATTCAACTAATGTTTATTAATACCTAATATGTGCCAGCTAGGCACTGTGCATGGTGCAGGATTTTGCCTATAAATAAGACAGAGCTCTCACCTTGTAAAGAGCATTAATGAACGAATAAATGAATGAATGAATGATTTGGGGCACCTTATTGTTAGTGATGGACAAAATAGGGTTATCTTAGGACTCAGAAGGCAAATGCAGAAATTTGGGAGGAGAAAGAAGAGCCCCTGAGATTTCCTTCTGGTTGTCCTACTCCCCACAAAAGAGCCGAAGGAAACAGTGATTTCTGTTCTCTGACTTCATGAAGGATCAAGACTCGATCTTTTCCTGTTTTATGCCTCTGGCACAATCCCTCACAGTTTCTCCTACAGTCTGAGGATTTTCACTGCGTCCTTTCTGCCAACTCAACCTGACTTGCCCTCCTTTCCTTCTGCTCTCATACTCCTGGATGCATATTTTATGCCTGCTAGTTTATCATTTTAATTCCTTCCCAATAAGAGTTCCCTAATCCATCTGCTGTCTTGTGTGCCTCGTATTAAAACATACATGTTATCAAATAAAATTTGGCCTGATAACCATTCTCCCTATTTGACAAATTGTGCCTCTGTTAAATAGACTTTGACAAAGAAGATTTATTATCTGTGAATTACTGTTGACAGAAATATTATTGTGTTAGAGGAATGCAATATTCTCAGTGCTGGCTTTTCTGGGATTGGTCCCCAGATCCACTTTCTGCACTTCTCTGCTTAGCTCTATGCTGCCATCTGTGCATCACCAGTGTCCCTTGGGCAGACGACTTGCAGTTGGTTTTGTCAGTGGAAGAACAGGATCTTCAGAGGATCAGGGCACAGGAGAGAGAACTCTGGGTATTTCTTCCTCTACTCCTCCTCT